TTATACAGGTTTCGTACAAGGTAAAATCTAGAATAAAATTTTATATTTATTTAATGTTCTCTTTCTTTTTTTTACATAATATATAATTTACCCATCATAGGTACTTACACGGATTCTTAATGCTCTTGCATTATTTGGTTCAATTTCTAATGATTCATTTCCTTATGTCTGATTATCATGCGATAGGTATCTCCACGCCATGCAAATGCCTTCCTTGGTTCAATTTCTAATGATTTATTTAAACCTGATTCTTCATATCTATTTATCAAGCGATAAGTTGCTCTACGACTCCATATGATAAGCGTCGCCATAAGTTCTGATATAAATGCATTTACAAATGCATCCATATTCTCGCTCGGATCTGTTATTCCGGTAATTATCCTCCAAGTGTCACTTGTCTGTCGTTCCTTGGAGAAAGATCCATTTGGGGGTCATCGCTTGCGAGGCTTAAGGAACTTAATTTCAATGCTTGGTTACAGAGAGTAGCTTCCGTCTTTGGACAAGATCTCTTTTCACCTTTGTTTTTGTTTCGTTTTTCTATATTTTTGATGGTCATTACGAAGACTGGCTTGTTCATGCGACGTAGCTGGACACAATGTCGAGCAGAAAATTCAAAGAACAAAGACATCAATACAGATCATCAGGTTACTCAAATACCATTTCGTCATGCATAAGTCTCGTGACCTGCTATCACCTGGGACTCGCAATAATGTCCCGCCTTGTGACTCCGTTCACAAGCGGATCAGAAACTTTAAAGAAATTTTAAAAAATTCGTCGAAAGTAACATGCAAAAACGTATTAATAAAAAGTTACCCGATTTGGATAAAACTTTCAGGATATATGTATTTTGATCTCCTGAACAACTTTCACTTAATAAGCTTTGTCGATTTACTTAGTAAAATTTCGACTTTACTATAGAGTAACTACTGACGATCATTAAGTAGCTTATTTTCGGGTATAAGACATTTTTATGTTTTTTTTTCCAAAAAAAGAAGGTAGCTTATTTTTGGTAGTAGCTTATTTTTGAAAACATACGGTAAATAGTACATATATTACTTATCATATTGTCTAATTTATATATATATTACATGAATACATTGTTTAAATTATGCTATGTTATGAAAGTATTGTTCTATTTAAATCTACTGTCATGGGTTAATAAAACTCTATAGTTACTAACAATCTAGCTCAAAAGTAAGTACTTCTCCAACCATCAACAATCTCGATACTTTGCTGCTTTGACTTGGGTAAATATTTTGCTTATTTACTTTCAACGATTTATGTTTGCAGGTAATAAAATTATTAACTAACTTTATTTTGCTTTTACTTTTTAAATACAAATTTAACTATCACTAAATTACATTATTATTGATCATACCATTTTGATTTTTTAATTTTGCATTACTAATTACACCATTTTTTATAAACTTTATTATGATATTTTTTATATACTGCTTATTAATTACCCATCTAATTCATATATATCAATAACCTTACTTCAGTATACTATTACATAATACTGACAGTTGCATAATTGATCATTACTCAATTCTCAATTTCTGATCACTTACTCATTATGTGCATCATGTGCACAAGATAATGATCGATCGTTCATTTATTTTTATTCCCATACAAGTTTACCACATACTGTATATCACTATGACACAAGCTAGAGTCTCAGAAACTTTGTCTCTGAAGTTTTTAGCATGTGTGAAGCAATTAAAGTTCTAAGCAATACTGAGCCCAGTATACTATATAAGTATTTCAATACTTTTTCACGATCGAATACTCTTTTAATTTGGATTTCAAATAAGTGTTTACCTTTTTTTTACTTTTTTTTTTTCTTTAAACTTATTATACTGTCTTTAAATGATTTACTAATACTTATTTTACCTTTACTATTCCTATGATCATTTTCTATATACTTCATAACTCCATCATCAACATCATCATTTTTTGCTTCTATTCTTTTTTCTTTTACTTTGTTATATCCCAACTTATCTACTGCATTTCTTATACCTATCATGTCTCTATTATTTCTTTTAGTCTCTACTACCGAATCATATTCACAAGCAGGATATTCATCATGAACTTTATATTCATAATGATAATTATATTGCATATTTTTATCATGTATTTCTTCAATATTTCCCATTTTGATCCTAATGAATTTAGCTTCACCATCTGTAGCTTTATCCTTATTATTACTATTTTGACTTCAACAACAGGTATGTTATATTCATTAACTTCCGCTTTTCTTATTTCAACCAATTTAACATAATAATCAAATATCTTTTTTTTTATAATTACATTATTTTCATTATTTTCTTTACTCGGCCTTTCATTACCAATTCTCTTTTCACAATTACTACTATATAATTGTTCAACAACTCATATTTTAGCTCTAACTTCATCATAATATATATCAGATATTATATCTCTGCTCTTAATTAATTTTCTCTGATCAAATATTAATCTATGATTATCTTTCAATTTAGGTTCTCCAACTGATTCTCCACATTCAACATGCTTTGAATCTTTCTCAAGTATTTTTTTTTCATCTTTATCAGTAATATTGACATCTTGGTAACAGATAAGTGCTTCATTTTCATCCTTTATAATTTTATTTTTCTTATTATTACAATAATCTCTACTACTAATATTTTCCTTATCAGCTGATTTTTGACGATATTTCAATGCTTGAACTCTATTATTTCTATTTTCTTTCACATCAAGACTTTCAGATAAGTTTTCTACTTTCAATTCACTTATATTCATTTTACCTTTTTTATCGATTGTTTCTTTATTTATACTAACTATCTTTTTCTCTATACTTTTTACTTTCTCTGCAGAATCATCACAACCTATATTGTTTCAGAACTATTCAAATAAATTTATCTTACAACTTGATGCATCAGGCTTCAGATCTTTGTTGGATACTTTATTTTCATCCTTACTAATATTTTTTTCTTTCTCTGTACTATCATCTAAACACCACTATACTAAGTCCATTTTATAGATTGTTAATACAATTAGTTAGCAAGATTAATAGTAATCTGCTCAGATTCTCATATTGCAAGTTAATAAAACTCTATAGTTATTGACAACCTAGCTCAAAAGTAAGCACTTTTTCAACTATCAACAACCTCGATACTTTGCTGCTTTACTTGGGTAAGTATTTTACTTATTTACTTTCAACAATTTATGTTTGCAGATAATAAAATTATTAACTAACTTTATTTTGCTTTTGCTTTTTAAATACAAATTTAACTATCATTAAATTATATCATTATTGATCATGCTATTTTGACTTTTTAATTTTGCATTACTAATTACACCATTTTCTATAAACTCTATTACAATATTTTCATACACTGCTTATTAATTACTTATCTAATTCATATATATCGATAACCTTATTTTGATATACTATTATGTAATGCTGATGATTGTATAATTGATCATTACTCGATTCTCAATTTTCGATCACTTACTTATCATATGCATCACATGCACAAGATAATGATCAATCGTTCATTTTATCTTTATTTCTATACAAGTTTACCGCATATTATATATTATTATGATACTATGTTATATAAATATAAAATTAGTGAAATAAATTGTCTAATTAATATATAACTTTATATAACTAATTTTTTAAAATAGACTCATTTTACCAATTTAAAAAAAATACATTACAATAAAATTGTTAAAGTTTGTTTATGATAGTACTATTGTCTATATTAAAGTTATTGATTAGTTGAGTATATAGCGAATTTTTTTTGACAATAATTTTTTTAAGAAGCTTTATATATTTTTTATAGATATTTTAAACAAAAATTTTGAATTTTTTAGCTCTAGTAATATTTTATCAGATATCAAACTGTGATTAGTACAAAAAAACACATATTAGTAATATTATTATAGATATTACAGATAATTTAAGAAATAACATAAAATATATTATATTGTACAAATTGTAGATTAGCAAATTGTTTAATCAAAATCATTTTATTCTAGAATAATAGTTAAAATTTTAGTAATATAAATAATAGTTAATATAATATAAATAACA